CCAGGCGTCTTTGTTAGCACGTTAGACGCCATGGCCAGGTGTTCCCGGACACCCGCACCTGGTGAGGGGGTGACGGGGTTAGGGAATCACAGCAACAGGTGAGTCTGGAGCAGTGGAAGGAGTGGGGTGTGGAGAGTCCCCACCCGGTCTTGTCTGGCTGTACCTGGGGAGGCCAGGGACACTGAACTCAGCTGAGATTGACAGGTAACAGTTTGTCTGGGGCATGTAGTGGGCAGGGTGCGCGCCAAGACTCAGAGGCTTGGAACAGGCAGAGCGCGTGGCTGGGATGGCTGGGAACACGGTGTGGCTTTAGGGAGTAGAGAAGGAGAGGAGAGATGGGCCTGGCGAGGTGCGTGCCCGGGGTCCTTCTCCAGGTTCTCCCCGTGGCTGATGCTTGCAGGACTCTGCCCGGGGTCTGAGTTCAAGTCCCAGCTTGGCTCTTGTCTCCCATGTGATTCTCAACAAGTGGCTCCACTTCCTGAGCTTCAGTTTCTTCCGTGTTAAAATGCACAGAAGATGCGCCTCATACACTGGTAAAGAGAGGGAAAGCCTCGATCCATCAGTCGGCCAGCAAGTGTTTATTGAGTGGCTACTCTACACCAGCTTTGTGCTGGACGTGCGGCCGCAGCAGTGGACAGCCTGAGCTCATGAGACCAACAGTCTCACTTCGGAGTGCCTGAGTCCCACTTCTGGTTCTAGTTCCTGATTCAAGTTTCTTGCTAATGCAGGAAGGTTTGGGTTCTTGCTACCCACATGGGAGACCTGGGTTAAGCTCCTGGGTCCCAGATTCGGGACTCCCTACCCCAGCATTTGGGGACTGAACCAGCAAATGGGAGCCCACTCTCTCTCTCTGTCTCTTTCTCTCTCTCCCAAATAAAACAAAAAATAAATGGTTAAAATGGTCCATTTTAGGTTGAATATATTGAACCAGCATAGCAAGTTTCCCAAAGACAGGTATCCATCAGTGTCACATACCTTACTGACAGACCCAAGAGAAATCACGGGACCGTCTCCATAGCTGCAGGAAAAAGCATGTGACAAAATCCAGTACCCATTCAGAATGGAAACTGTGCGTGCTGGAGATAGAAGGAAAATCTCTCAGCAACTTGGAAAACGCCAGTCGAACTGAACAGAACTTGGGAAGGAATTGAGCAGGCTTTTCCGGCTGCATCGGAGTGTGAAAAGGAAATGCTTGAAAACGAGAGTCCTTTCCTGTCGGTCCCTGGAGAGCACAGCGCTCAGGCGTTGGCAGCCCTTTTGCCGAGCGCAGAAGCGTGGCATTCCTGCGTGAGTGAGCAACCCTCGGTGGTGACAACCGTGATTTCCTGTGCGGGCACGTGCAGGTGTGCAATACGAATGTGGCTGGGTAATACAGGATTACTGCCCGGATAGTAGTATTAACTAAAGCATACAGGGACACAGGAAGTCACTCCCGCATCATCTCTCCAGTCCCCGCCCGCTCCAGAACGGCCACTGTTACATTTGAGTTCTATTTCGAAACTATTCAGATAAGAAACATCTTACCATCCAAGAATCAGGTACAGCCTCTCCCACATCCTCATTTTCTCAGACCTGCCCACCTTAATGCCTCCCCCCACCCCACCCCCACTGCCTCCTGCTGTCCAGAGCTGCCCAGGGCATCCTCAAGCCATCAGCGGGGGCAGGTGCAGGCTGGAAGCCGGAGTGCTGCCTACTGCCCCCCCCCAAGCCCAGTGTGCATCCTGCACCCAGTTCCAGGCATCAGCCATCCACCGATGTGAGCACTGCCGTGGGCCAGGCTCCATTGTGACAGCGGCCTGTGGCCCCGCTCCTGGGACTCTCAGCTTGGAACACAGAGGTGGAATCAAACAGCTCAGGAGAACAGACATCAGCCCCAGGTCTCCCACAGGACAGGGCCAAGCCTGCCTCCCTCACCCCTGATCCTCAAGCGTAGCAAGACCTCAGGGAGCACCTGTGACAGAGATGCATGTACAAGGTGACCTCTAACAGCCCTGGCTGCTGCTTGTGGTCTGGGGGCCAGCAGCAGCAGCGCCTGGGAGCTCCCGGACCAGAGCTGAGCCTGCGTAGCATCCCAGGAGGTTCTGGAAACTTGTACGCTCAGCCTCACCGCCCCACACCTTCCTCCTCCACCCTCACTGTGCCCTCCGTGAGCCCTCTCCTCCCATCCCTAAACTATGAGGGGACTTCAAAATGCTTGTGGGAAATGGAATGAAAAGACAAACGTATTTGGGAACAAAAATCTGTTGAGATCTGTGCCTACTCCTAGGAGTCAAAGCATGAAGTCTGTGCTGGAACCGCCCCCTGGAGTCTGCTTCCGCCCACCCTCTGACTCCCCTTCCACAACACCCTTCACTCTGCCGACGACCTGCTCCGAGACAACTCGGGTACAGCCGGAGGAGCTGAGTCAGCCGGGAGAAGTCACCTCCCTGGGGTAGAGGGTGGTGAGGGCCAGAGGAGGAGGCGTGAGCTCAGCACACTCCCATCCTGCGCTGAGTCAGCCCCTGCGGAGTTGGATGGGAGGAGCATCCCTGGGGTTTCCCACGCTTTCCCAAGTCTCTTCTCTGGTTCTAGGAACTTCTCTTCAAAGTGCCCCAGGCTGGAAGAGGGAAGCGGCAAGCTGAGGACAGAGGGTGTGAACCCACCTGCTTGGCTCCTGTCACCCCAGAGCAGGGGTTGGAGGGGCAGGAACCACCTGAGGACCAGAGATCTGCGGGATTCCTCTCCTGGGACATCGCCCCAAGTGCCCCGGACCCCAGACTGCAGGGTTCTCCTTGCTCCTCCAGCTGGGCCCTGTCCCTTCACAGGGGACAATGGAGGAAGGGCTGCCAGGCCTTGGGCCCCAGTGTCCCACAGCAAACACAGGGCAGGGCAGGCGCCCAAACCAGAGCCTCCTGATGCCCACTTGAACGCTCCATGCACCTGCCATTCTCTGCGTGATATTGACAGAACCTCCTGCTTGGCAGGCGCCAGTCACACCCACACAGCCCTGCAAGCTGCCAAACGTATCTCCGTGTTTGCTGAAGCAAAGCTGAGGCTCAGAGAGGCTTCTGCAGAGCTGGGGGTGACCCTGCTCCAGGACCCATCATCAGCTCCTGCCCCCTGGGACCCTGGAGAGGTGTGAGCTCCAGGCAGCCCTCACTGCCTGGGTGAGCCCGACCTTCCCCCCATCACAAGCGTCTGTGCTTTCTTTCCCTCCCCACCCATGCATCCACCTCTACCATCTGTGGACCCCTGATCCAGCCCTCTCCACCTCCTGCATGCATCTGGGATGGGCTCTACCTTGGCTCCAAGAATGGACCAAGGGGCCCAGGCCTGACCAATCAAAGATCTGCATTCACCCTGGCCCTAGGGTGACAGAGAAGGACATCAATCAAACCACTCCATACAATAATGTCAGATTCACACCAGGAAGGCAACAAAACAGGGTGGAGGACAGAGAGGGTGCTGTGGTCCGAGTGCCTGTGTCCCTCCCAAATGTACATGTTGGTTAATGGGGGACCTTCTGTGGTGCCTGGGTCCTGACGGTGAGCCCTCAGGGATGGGAGGAGTCCCTTGTGGGGCCTTGGTTGCCTCTTCCTGCTGTGTGAGGACACCACGGGAAGGTGCCATCTACAAAGATCCAGCTCCTGCAGACCCCAAATGCCCCAGTACCCTGACCTTGGAACTTCCAGCCTCTGGAACTATAAGTACCAAGTCTCAGTTGTGTGGAAGCCACCCGGCCTAAGGAGCCAGCACCACCTCAAACGCATGGTGATGGGAAGGCTTCGGGCCACAGGAATGGTCACGTAAAATTTGCTAGAGCCCGGAAGGAAGGAAGGAGGGGGATGATGAGCTTCAGGGGGAGGACTTGGCGGGAGGAGGGAGGAGTGGGTGCAGAGGCCCGAGGCAGGAGGACCCAGCGGGAGGGCAGTGCAGCTGGAGGTGGGGGCAGGGCTCAGCCCAGGGTTCTGAGTGGACCAAGGTCATCCGGGGCCAGGGGAGGACTGAGACAGAAAGATGGGAACCCAAGAAGTGCTCCAGGAGGACACGCCTCACCGGGAGCCAACGCCCGAGTGTGCTGACACGGACAGAGCCCTCTCCTAAGCTCTCTGCATGGGCCTGCACCTCGCCCTTGCGACAGCCCGATGAGGTCGGTTGCATTAGCACACGCACAGCAGGTGAGACTCTCGGGCTTAGAAGTCAGGAGTGTTAGGTATAGGATTCTCGGGCCCAAAGACAGTGCGGCAATGAGCGGGTTAAAGCAGAAAAGCCTTTTATTGTGGAGAGGAGAGCACAGTAGGGAAGTGCATCTTCTGCGCCCAGGCAGTGGGCAGAGGCCCCTGTTAAGCTGGTTTTCAGGGGCAGGTCATGTGGCGGTGCAGAATGCCACATGGCCGGGACAGGCAGGCCTGGATGAGCAGAAAGCCTCGGAGGCAGCCGTTTATCCAAGCCAATCGTCTGCAGTCCCGGGAGTGGTGCTCATAAAGGTTGGCGCCAGGCTAGCAGAATAAGAAGTAGAATTCCACCAAGACCTAGGGTTACCTAGGCGCAGCGTGCCGATCTGAAGCCAGGAGCCAGGTGCTTCCTCCTGGTCTCCCATGTGGGTGCAGGGCCCAAGCACTTGGGCCATCTTCTACTGCCTCCCTGGGCCACAGCAGAGAGCTGGACTGGAAGAGGAGCAACCGGGACAGAATCCGGCGCCCCAACTGGGACTAGAACCCGGGGTGCCAGCGCTGCAGGCGGAAGATTAGCCTAGTGAGCCGCAGCACCAGCCCTCTGTGCCCAATCTTACCAGGGCTTTGGAATTAGCTCTTTGTGCCCCAGTGGCCTAGTAGATCCTAACAATGTAGACTGGTTCAAGGTCAAGGTCAAGGTCACAAGGCTAGAAATCAGCAGAACTAGGATTTGAACCCATGCCAACTGGCTGTACAACCCTTTCTTTTTATCACTAGCAGTTTAAAAAGTTGTTGATTACCCATATTTACAGATAAAGAACCTGAGGCTCAGAATGGATTTCTGCGGCTCCGGAGCTGACCCTGGATGACTGACTACTGACCCTGGACCCTCCCCAGAAATGCTCTCTTGGACTTGGGGGGCCTGGCAACCTCGCACACCCTTGCACAAAAGGCTGCGCCCCCACTCCGTGTTGAACCTACACATAAGGAGGTGATTCCCCATGGTGTCTCTGCACCAGCAGCCTCCCCTGTATGGGGGGGGGGGGGCCTCAGCATCAGCACAGGTGTGTCTCCTCTACATCAGGGCAAACCCACCACGACTGGCCCATGACGGTCTGCCTGCCCTTAGCTGCCTGCTGGGATCACGTGTTGAGTCATTGGCAGTGGTCTCATTGACTCCAGCCCTCAGCCGCAGCGAGGTTCAAAGCGGGCAGCTCATCAAACTCTCCATGAGGAAGAGCCGTGCTCCCATGGATACACTATGGATTTCAGGGAGCCGCAACCTCCCTCAGGCGTGGGCGACACCAGGCCAAGCTCTGCCCAGGCAGCTTGCCACAGGATACAAAATGCCCAAACCGCACCAATGCAGCAGCTGCAGAGGGCACGGCACAGAAGCCCCAGCCACGCCCACTCTGCACCCAGGGACGCATCGGGCTTCGCTGCAGTGGCAGTGCCAGGCCCACGCCCACATGGCCAGGCAGCAGTGCAAGGTCACATTGTTGCCAGCAGGGGCTGCATTGTGTCCAAAATGGGAGAACAGTTTGTTCCAAGCCCCTTGTGCTCCATAGCCAGCAATGTTCTGAATGACTTCAGTGGACCCCATGGGAGCCCAGTCCATGTGCCCCAGCACTGGCCCTCACACATCAAGGAGGGCACTCACAGAGGACATCTGCCACCCTGGGCTTCCTGGTCCCACCTTGGGAGCAGGTCCAGAGCCATGATTCACACAACAGAACACATTCCAGGCACAGGGGACAGAGCTCAGGGCAGGACAGAGAAAGCCCCACCACCCTGAGCTCAGGTTCCCACACTGACAGAGCTGTGTGCAGAGTCAGCGGTGACCACACTAAGGGGGACACAGGGCAGGAGGCGGGCACAGGGTGATAGGCAGGCAGGTTAGAGGCTGACGTAAGTGCGTGGTATGAGGATGCAGAGGTCTAGGGCTTATTCTCCTGCATCTTGGCCCAGTCCAGTGCTGGGCACAGGTTGGCCCTGGCACATGGTTGCTGACTGAGTGTCCGGATGAATTGAACCCTCTCCTTGGACCCTTTGTGGGAAGGGCTAGGCGGGAGACCTCATCTCAACCCCGGTCTCTGGTGAGTATCTCTATACTGCCACATTCCCAGGGGATTGGGGTGCCTGCACCCCTTTTTCCCAGGGTCTCCAGGTTCCATTCCTCCACAGTGGACCCCCACCCCACTCTCTACTCTCCAGGCAAAGCCCTCAGCCCCAGGAAGCAGGGGAGTGGGCTCAGATATCCTCTGTCCCGGAGAGGGGCAGAGCTGGGCGGGGACAGGAGCAGGGGACCTGGTAAACTCAGGCAGAAAGGAGCTCGGGGCACAGAGAGCTCCCTCACACCCCTTCCCTGTTGCAGGGGCTGCGCCACAGCCCTTTGTTATCCTTGCAGGGTGGGCTTCAAGAGCATTGTTTTTTGTTTTTTGGGGTTTTTTTTTGTCTTTTTTTTAAAGATTTATTTATTTTATTAGAAAGAGTTGCACAGAGAGAGGAGACGCAGAGGGGTGGGGGGGTATCTTCCATCTGATGGTTCACTCCGCAACTGCCGGAGCTGCGCTGATCTGAAGCCAGGAGCCAGGAGCTTCTTCCGAGTTTCCCACGCAGGTGCAGGGGTCAAGGACTTGGGCCATCTTCCACTGCTTTCCCAGGCCATAGCAGAGAGCTGGATCGGAAGTAGCGGGGTCTCGAACTGGTGCCCATATGGGATGCCGGCGCCGCAGGCCAGGGCATTCACACCACTGCGCCACAGCGCCGGCCCCCAAGAGCATTGTTTTGCTCCACTTGATAAAAGTGCAATTCACTGAAGGCTCTCAGATGGATATTTCCATCTCCAAAGCTTATTTTTCAGGGGAAGATCAATCCCAAGGAACCACTTACAGTCTGGGGAGTCGGATCCATTAACACGTGCCAAGTGCCCAGGGGCTCAGGGAGGGCACCTCTGAGTAAAACCAGAAATGGTGGAACTGCCGGAGCCTGGAGCGATGCTCACTGAGAGGCTTTACAAGTCTCCCTTATTTCTCCTCCAACTGAAATCAAATGGCGCGTGTGAGTCTAGGACAGATGACGAAGGAGCTGCCACAGAGCCGGTCTGCCGCCCGCAACCACAGAGAAGTCCCTCCCCGCGGAGGGGGCCCCTGTTCCTCTGGGGCTCAGCCTCTGGGACATCTCAGACATCTGGGAAGAGACTCTGGTTCCCACGGTTGACAGCAGCTTCCAGTGTCCAGCGTTTGTCCCATGCGCCGGGCAGCCAGGGGCAAGGAAACCCCCCGGCCACCGTCAATCAGAGAGGGAGGTGGAGAGCAGGCTTCTGAGCCAGCAGAGATCATTTCTAGAGGCTAAGAGAGGGCTGCGGGGAGAAGGGAGCCAGGGCAGGGGCAGCCTCCAACTGCTGCGACAGGAGCAGAGAGCCGTCTCCAAAGATGCAACACTGGACGCCACAAGGGCTGATGCCAGGGTCACGGCCATGAAAGGATGCCCTCGCTCTCAGCCACTGTGGCTCATATGCACCCAGCCCTGTGTTAGTGCCTTGCATGCATTATCTCACGTAAAGGTCACAGGAGCCCCGTGCCCTGGGTTCCATTACAATTCCCATTTTACAGATGAGGAATCCGTGGCTCACAGAGATAAAGTCGTTTGCTCTGAAACATCGTCGTATAGCAAAGCTGGGTCTGAAGACTGCATCACTGTTAGGCCCCCCTCTCACTCCTGCTTGCACAGCCCCCAGGATGGGGGGCTCAGCACCCCCAAGACAGCCCTTCTCTCCCTGGACAGCTGTGACTGTGGGAGAGTCTTCCTCCAGCCCTTCTGTTTTCAAAGGCAACTCTCCCTTCCCACAGGGGTGCTCAACCCCAGCTTCTATAGCCCTACCCTTGCCTGGCTGACTTGCCCTGAATGAAGGGACGTTTGCTCAGACACAAGGCTGGGGATAGATGGTATCTGATCCCCCACACTGATGCCCTCATTCTTCGAGTCCCTGTGCACACATGCACGTGGGCACACACACACGCCTGCGCACACACACACAGAGCTAGAGGTCTCGATGATGAGCTTTGATGGCAAAATTGGCAGCTGTTTCCCACTCTCCCCTCTGCCCTTGCCCTTTACAACTCTTCCCAGCAGGAGGCAAAATCTATTTCCTCACTCAGTCCGAGCTACCCCGTATCTTGGGACCCATACAGCACAGCACAAGCAGCATTGAACAAGGGCTGAGCCTAAACCTCCAGAGACCTCGTCCACCTCTGCTCTAATTTACAACCTGCTTTCACCGTGAGAACGAAGCCCAGGATACTCCCTGGAGGCTGAGGGAACACACCGAGCTGAGATAAACCACCAAGTCATCCCACAAAGGCCAGCTTCACCAGCGAACACACCAGCAGCCCAAGTGCTAATAATCCCAGCTGTGCCCAGCCAGGCCAAGCCATGCCCAGCAACGCCCAGCCCAGAGCTGCAGAACTGATACAGGATAAGGAAGCGAGCTGAACTGGAGGTGGCAAACCTCGAGGCCCCTGGCCCATGTAATCCACATATTTGTCAGACCACCCCCCTTCCCAGGATGCCTTTTTCCAACCAGGACCTGGGAGAAGGGTCGCCATGTACACCATTAAGCTCCACATGGAATTTTGTGCAAGGTGTCATAAACTCCCAGGTGACCACACTACCTCATAAGAGGAGGTGCCAGGAGGTGCTTGCTCTCCCTTCAGAGACAAGGACGAGAGGAGGTGCTGCGGGTGCCCTCCACCTTCCTTCCCCCACCCCTTCTCATCCTGCCCTCCTCCACTACTAACTCAGCCCGTGTGTGTGTGTGTGTGTGTGTGTGTGTTTGTGTGTGTTTGCCTTCTAAATAAAATGTATCACTTTTTGCACTGTATATGTGCCTGCACTCTAAATGCTTTTTAAGTAAAAGGCAAGGAGCTAAACTAAAATTAGGCCCCACTTCTCCCACATCAGAACCTACAGATTTCCACACCAAGTAAATGTTCCTTACTGGAAGCCCTAAGCTTTTGCAATAGCTTGTTACACAGCGGGAGCCAACTGATACATCATAGCACTCTGACTCCAAAGACTTGCACTCAGTCATCTTCCAAAGCCGCATCTGATACCTTGCCTGTTTCACAAGCTGCCAGCACCATCATCTTTACCCCTGAACGAAAGCCCTTGTGATTTCCCGCCTGTCTAGAGAGTCCATACGGGGACACTCCTGTGCTAGATCTGCCCCTCACTCTGCCGTTCCTTCATTCACTCACTCAGCAGATGCCCATCGGGTTGTCATATAGATGCTCCTTGACTTACAGTACACCCGTGGGAATAGAAAATATCATAAGTGGAAAATGCACCTTATACACCGAACCTCCCGCAGGTCCCAGCTCAACCACACAGCCCACCACGGAGTGTTGGATGCTCACCCTCATGGCTGCAGAGCTGGCCAGAGCTGAACTTGCTGGCACGGCCCAGTGTCCCAAAGAAGAATCAGATTGTGCATCGCTGGCCCAGGGGAAAAAATAAACCCCGTGAGCCTCTGTTCAGCACTGGACACATGGAGATAATCGCCAAGTCTCGGGTGTTTGGCGCTCAGTGAGATCATAAATGCATAGGTTGCACAGCCTTATGCACACTTCACAAAGCCCCTGTCACCAAAAAACTCAGATGACAGAGCAGGTGGGACCCAGGAGAGGTGGGGATATGAGAGACTGTAAAACTCAATTGCCATTTCATTTTTTTTCTCTTATCACAACCATGAGCCAATACTCCAGTTGTTCAGTCTCTTTAAATAGGGTGCTCTTCTGTCCCATAGGAAGGCTCCCAGCTCCATGCACACGTAGAAGACATCTGGCCAGCTGCCTCCCAGATTCTCCCCTGTGCCATGTCCAGTGGCTTTGCCTTTCCTCATATCCCTTCTCTGCTCAGCCTTAGGTCTGG